AGAACACATATAACTCAGCATAAAATGTACAAAATGGGCCTTGCTGACACCCACATCTGCTCTCAGTGTCCCAGCAGTAGTATAGACGATTACTTCCATGCTACAGTATGTGGACTTGCCAACCAGTTCATACATTTTGGACAGCAGTAACTCAAATATTATTATCTCTACTGAGTCATAGGATTCCATTATCTCCATCTCTATGCTTGCTTGGTGACACAACACAGATGGATCTCAGATACCTGCATCTAATCACAGTACACAGTACTACATATACAAAACAAGATCACTGCAATTTGTATTTTGGTGATACTTGCCAGCCATTTCAACTGTGAGAACTGTGTTTATATTCCCAGGTATGTCTGGAAAAATGTGGGGCTATAATCGGTGCATGGAATCTTCATCACAATCACTGGGTTCTTGTGGTAAGAAGACAGTTGTGTACACAAAATGTGCATTTCTTAATTACATGTATTTATAGAGGGTCATATGGTGGAATTACTCATCCACAAAATGCTTCATTTCATCTCCACTGTAGTACCTAAATGCCTACACACACACTGTGGTGCTTCTGGATCCACAGAAGGACAATGAGATGGTGGAATCAAAAGTAGCTGCTGATTGCTTTAGGTAATGGACAGTAATTAAAAATGGGGTTGTGGGTTCAAATGATACCTCCAGCATGACCATTGGGTCCCTGAGCAAGACCCTGAACCCGAAGTAGCTCCAGGGAGACTGCTTGTGAAGTTCGGAAATGGAAGTAGCTCTGGGTAGTAGGATCTGCTGAATTCTGTATATGTAAGACTAGATGGTTAGATATACAAATTGCACAAAAAGTCCTACATTCTGTTCTCTTCCTAGGAAAATTGTCCTACTTTTCCAGCAACTTTTTTGCCCTACGTAATGAGCGACTTAAAAAACAGGAGCTGTGTGGGGGAAAATGGAAACCAGCCACAGTTGCACACACATTACAAAAAGACAGCTGTAGTTGTGGGGTCTTTGTAATGGAAGTGAGTATTCACACCACAGGGATGTTTCTGTACCAGTACAACTTTCATTTAATGTGATAAAAGGTTCTATTGTTGAATAACCCCAAGTAAACTGTTGACAACAGATGGGCAAGCAGCTTATCAACCACTTTCCTCGGGTTCCCAGTTACATCATCATTCCAGGTGACATCATTCAATGCCGTGAGACTATGGCGATGGAAATACTCAGTGGTTCAGGTACACTGCAAGTAGTGGCCTTATGTTCTCTGTCTTCAATCAAGAACCATATCTACACTATCCCTGACATGATGTTATTGTTGGCTTGCAAGTCGTACCTGTAACGTCTCCCACTGCTAGAAATATAGCACATGTGATGTGGCATTGCACAGCCTGTGCAGATGAGTCTTCGTCATAAAGCAGCAGCGTACTTCAGGGTCTGAACCCAAAATGTGAGTGTTGTCAGGGTGCTACACACTGGTGGTGGTTAAGGTGGCTTGGCACATGACTGGTGGGGTACCTTGGTGTCAGGCCAGTGTGTCTGGTGAGAGTGGATGTTTGTATGTGTGTGTGGCGTGTCGGCGGGGCTCAGCTTGGATGGGGCATATGTATATGGATATGTATATTAGGGGTGTGGCGATGGGCTCGGCCCGCTTCTTTACACACATGTCTGTGTCNAAACAACAACAACAACAACCACACACGTAACCGTGCTGGCACACAAACACTCAAATATACTTTACAGATAATTCAAATCAAATCAACCACTTCAACAGGCGCACAACACAACACAAGTGCACACAGCGACTACAGCAATCCCAGCAGCCTCTGGGACTGAAAAAGCTGGTAATTGGTAGATTAACATGTGTATTGAGCAGGGAAATCTGCAAACTGTGTTGGATTCTGGAGCACGTGGGTAACCCTGGTCTAAAGTATACCTAAGATCAACTGAAAACCTGTTTTATACCTTTCTCGTCAACCTGACAGTATCAGTTTGAACAGTTTGTGGCTGAGTTACTGTGATCCTTGACGACTTTCCCAGCTTTCACCAAGCACCGCCTGCTATGTATATCCTGGAGTAAGCGCTTCCGTAGTTTCCTTGGTTTCTAACAGTAAGATTGGCACTGTGAACAGCAGAAAGGAATCCATCATTCTATCGATCTAGTAACTGCAATGCTCGTTTTTTGTATCTGACAAAAGTCTTATTGCATGTTTACGTTCCTGTGAGCAGCCTGTAAGTGCATCCATCCATCCATCCCTTTCCCAGTTTCTTTTCATGCTCAAAGTCACGTGGGAGCCTGGAGTTTATCCCCGGCATTACAGATTGGTATTCCACGGTATTACATTCAGGGTACAGCCTGACTGGAACAGCAATTCATTGCTTAGAATACAATACAGCATATGAGGCTCCCTCTGATCATATTTGACATAAAAAATAATAGAAACAGTGCTAACCCAGAGTATCCTGTACTTAGAAATAATGATTTTAACATAAGTGACTATTAGACAATGATGTGGCTGCCTCAGATGCTGTCAGTATATGAGCCTTGAGCTGTGATATTCTTCTCTTGAAGATATGAAACTCTGACAGCTGAACTGGGGCATACATTGATCCATATGGAGCCATTCTCATTACGTGACTCACTGCTTTGGGGCATCGCTTCTACTTAGATATTTTGTTTACCCTGGCAGCTGGAGCTGTGGCTGTTATTTACGATTCTGTTCTCTCCCGCTTTAGGACACAACTGGTTGCCACAAACACCCCCAAGGTTGATCCTTCCTAATGTCAATTTTGAAAAGAAAATAATGATCATACTAATAAAAGCAGACAAATAAACCAAGGAAGAAAAGAAATAGCTAAACTTCTTGCTAGGATATATTGTTGCTTTTTTGTACTTTGAAGTTTTATAAGATGGAATTGCAATGCAATCCAATATCTGAGGATATCCTGTAGCAGAAATGCAAAGGTTTGACCTTTCTGTCTACATATTTTGTTTTTCATTTTTGATATTTAATAATTTATTTGTTTAAACCAAGCCTGCACGATGTGCAATGTAAATATCTGCTGGGTTGAGAATATCAGTAAGTGATGCGAAAATGTAATCATTCTTGTCCTTGCTGTTGGACTCACGGATAAAGTGGTGCATTTATGAGAAATTCAACAAAAATGTGTTGGAGGAGAAAAGCAAACTGACTGGTCATCAAGAGACATTCATCTTCGGCTGTATGGAAATATTTCAGATTCCATGGGGATGGTATTGGGCAAAAGCAAGTGATCTGTTGTCACTGCTTTGTGCCTGTTGACATTAACTCATGGCAACACCATCAAGTTATTTGACAGTATCTGTTGGTAGATAATTAGTTCTATTTGACTATAGTAAATTTTGATAGTTTGGTGGGTAATTTTAACATATATATTTCTTTTTTTTCAACTCCTTTTTTGTTTGTTATAATTATTTGTACCGCATCATAGCAGGTCAATTTTTGTACGGAAATTTAAATATATAGAAAAACCAAGACTGTTTATCGGTAAAGTAAATTTGATTAAAAGTAAACTGAAATTTAAACAAAAGAAATAGCTTAAGTGTAATGGAATTGAGATGTGTGTTTGAACAACGAATTGGGGAAAATATTTTTGCCCTGCAGAAATGATAAACATAACTGTTTATCACCATTTGTGTTTATACTTGTTTTCATTATAGGGTTTGCAAGGTCATACTACTTTGTAACTATAACTATCAAATAAGTGAAAATGTTTGCAAGAATATTTCTATAGTTTCCCATAAAGTTAATTTACAATATTTCTGTATATCTTGAAAAAGGGCTTTGTCTCATTATATAATCCTGCATTTAATCACAAAAGCATTTCTTAATTACATTATTCAGAATTTATTTTTGAGTACATTGTGTGTTAAGGTAGCTGATGCCTAAGACAGTAAACCTTCTGGTCAACACTCATGATATTTGTGTTTTTTGGGGATGGCACAGTGACTAAATAGTGGTTTATTGGAAACGGTGAATGGAAAGTGAAGTGATTGTTTGGCCGCCTCTGTCGACGACAATGCCGATGGATCCCCTCCTTCTCTGCTATTGTGGGTTCCCCATATTTTTCTTCTGCTGGGTGTCCTTGATCATGACGTTTCTGAACAGAGTCAGCAGGGGCTTCTGGCTGCGCTCGTCCCAGGACTTCATGAAGCCACCGTAACGCTTGCTGGCTGGGGGCTCGTTCCACCGGAAGTGGCCCATCTTGTAGGGCCTGTTCTTCTTCTCCTGAATGGTGGACTGCGGATGCTCGCTGGCCAGGCTGCTCTCCCCCAGGGCATAGTCCAGATCGTGGGGGAGGTCACGCCGTTCCTCCTCTGGGTAGGCCCCAGTGGCCTCCTCCTCCGGCACCCCGGCGTACACCTTGATGGGCCGACGTTTGCGCCCCACAGGTTTGCCCCAGCGGAAGTGCTCCATGGAATAGGAGCGCTTATTCTCATGCGGGAGCCCTACTCCTCTGTACCCGGTAAGTGTGTCCACATCGGGGGTGGGCAGGGTGGCCAGCAGGACACTGCCGTCACTATCGTCAGGCTCTGACTGTGGGCGAAGGTGCCCGTTGCCGGGGTAGATAGGGGACTCGGCAGTAAGGTCAGATCTGCATTGCTCTATACATTCCTGAATTGAAACATTACAAACCAGCAATCAAAACTGATGTTTTCTTTAACATGATGTAATTTATATAAATAAGGAAAATTTAAATTCATAATTAATCTTTAATTCATATTTCGTATTTTATTCTAAGTCAAAGGCAGTGCAAGCAGCATATAGTGACAAATATTTTTAATTTAAAATTTTAAAACGTGATAAAAAATTATCATTTAGAAGGTTTGTATTATAAATTGCACATAAAAAAGCACAATTCCAGTCAACTTGTCCTAAATATCATTAACAGTGATGCACACTCTTCAAATTTATCTCCATCATTTCACATTTAAAAAATTTCAGCATATATTTCCATTCGGAAAAACACATTTACATGCTACAAAATGTTATTTGCAATTTATTTCCTTGAACTAAGTCATTTATTAAAGTCTGGATCATTTTTAGATATTGTGTGCAAATATATTGTTACGGAGAAATTTATCGATTCATACATAAGACTATCCTGTATTATCTGTGCCAGATATTGTAATTAAATCTGAATGGGATGAATGGGTAGAGATACAGGACACAAAGTGTGAAATGGCATGAATGGGAGTAATTATATACATGCACTGGCAGGAAGGTAATGATGCAGTGGATGCTGGGACACTCACCTGGATGCTCTTTTCTGAGCTGAGGTCCCTGCATTTTGTATGTTCCCAACATTGCCCAGTCACTCCCTGGCCATGCGCACACAGCACGGCCACAGCCAATAGCCAAGCTGGAACCAGCATCGTCATGCCAATGACTGACACGGGACTGCAGATGGAAAGTTGCACCCAATGACTAGACATAAGCGTCAGGGTAACAGTCAGTGATTCCCCCCCACCTACCTCGTAAACGCTGATAGAAAAAGTCTCCACCCGCATATTTGCATTACGACATTATTTTGCACTGTCTTCTGTCTACAGTATATGCACGGTCTTGCACCTACTGTTTACTTGTAATATTCATTGTCATCATTGTATACTTTATAATCTATTATTTATTGTTTATCCTTAAACTTTTCTTTGTTCTAGCTGTCATACGCGCTAAAGAACTGAGATTGTGTTTCATGTTTGTCAAATGACAATGGAATAGCGTGGCTTGATACTTCACTCATTTTGACTATATTTCTTAAAAAGTACCTAACCGATATTTGAATATCATTCAAACTCATTGGTTCTCACCCATGAATGCTCTTCAGGTTAGTCAACTATTACTCTAATTAGTAATATATAAAAATAAGTAAATAAATAAAGTATTTACCTAATATATTCCTCTAGTGGTGTAATGAAGACCAAGACCTAGTACCTAGCTAAAAGTCCCATAATGTGTCACATAGAACTGGTTCCTCCACAGCCAGAGAGTAGAGTTACACGACAGAATAATCGCTCTCATAGGACACCACACATACAACATAGAAATAGAAGTCTTTGCTTGCCAAATTGCTTTCCTTGCTTACCTTTTCATGTTTCAATTCATGTGAATTATACAAAAATTAAAAGTCCTGCAATTAATACACTGGATTTTTATATAATTGTTCATCATTAGTAGATTTAAATTACAATTGCAATGGAAGCCCAAAAGCTGATATTGTAGCATTAGCAAATTTCCTGGCTCACAAATGTAATAATATCACAAACTCCATATATGATGCAAATTTAAATCTTTTTACCTGCTTTTCTTTCTTTTCTATTCCTGCAACAGGTCTCTCGTTCTCAGCTGGTATGATTTCTCTCCTTCTGTCTGCTGGGAGCAGCTTTCGTACTGGTTTCTGACCTGCTTGTTTCCCGTAAAGTCAGAACTCCAAATTTCCTTCCTTTTATACCCATACCTGCATGACAACCTTTTCAAGGGCAATACTTTAGGGAGATATTTCCTTTTGTGTCCCTTAAGATAGGGGAGGCGCTAAGGTATGACGCAGAGCACATTAACGGCAGAGACGAGGAGATTTGGTTTAGGGGGAAAAATGTCAGTATTGAACATCACTAGCGTCAGACATCAGGGATTATTAAGTAGCTGCAACTTGTTGAACTTAGGATACAATTTCCCTGCACTGGTTGAGGAGGGGAAGGATAGGTGTTAATGCATGCTCTGAATGCATAAAGGTCAGATTTACTGAAACTGGACCTAAATTAATTAGGCACCCCCACTGTAAGTGACGGAGAGGACGAAAGGTGTCATTATTACAAGATTACTCTAATCTCTCTGTAAAATTGGACTGAAAAAAAAATTTAAATTGTAGGAGGGAAAAGGCAGGAATAAAAATACATGAGTGACTAATTAAAATGAAATAATTAACAATGATCTACTGCTTACCCACTGCAGGGCCGGTGATTTAGCAGTAATGATTCTTTCAAAATAGTTATAATTTTTTGTGTGTAAATTTTAATTTTTTTCTAAAAAGCGTTTTCTTTCATCTGTGGTTTTGTTTAAAATAGAGTCAACCAAATGCTAGCAGCAAAATTTTAAATTCAGTTGATGTTTTGCTTGCTAAAGGCTTTGCTACACACTGAACACGAAATGGAAACACAAAGCGGTATTAATAATGAAGCGCTTTTAAAAAGCTACTGCTCCCAAAGGATCTGAGGATTTATCATAGAGGAGAAAACACAAACTGGGAATAATAATAATAATTATTATAATGATCATTAACTACAGCCTCATCACCATTACAATTTTAACGTACTTTTGCCGCATGCCAGATGTTTATTGTTTGGAACTGGCTGGATAATGGAAATAAGGGCTTTGTATCTGCATCTATTTACCATTTTCAAGGAAGTAAACATAAACGCAAAGATAAGTCTTCCAAACGTTTATCCTGGACAGGGTTCTGGGAGGCTTGGAGTTTTTCCTTTTCAGCATTGGACACAAGGCAGGGACATAGGCTGGATGGGATGCCAGTCCACTGAGGGCAGCATACACACTATGAGAAATTTAGCAACACCACTTAGCCTACATACAAACGTGTTGTTTGACTGAGGAAGGATGTCCAAGTGACATGAGGAGAGCCAGCAAAATCAAAAGATGCAAACATTCTTTAAGGAAATCAGAATAATTTTATTTATAATTTTATGATATATAGTGTTTTGTGTTTCACTTGAAAGTATAAATGCTTTAAATGCAATTTGACGGGGCTCAAAAAGAATTGCTCGCCATGGTACTTCGAATGATCATCTTGAAAAAAGCGTAATGTATCCTAATATGTCCAAACACAGTTTCCAGCCTTCAGCTAGCAAATTGCCTATGACAGAGTCTCGGGATACTGTCGTAATGTCATTTATTAAGGCATAAATTGTGTACTTTGAAGGGCATCATTTACCGCAAGTATACCATTAGAACGGGAACCTAACCTTGATTTTTTTTTTTTCCTATTGCGACTTCTTTTGTGACGCATACCTGAAAGCGATAACATTTGAGTGTTTTGTTGTGGACAGCGGAGGCTTTTAGTGATAAATCACTTAAAGAGTGAGTTGGCCAGATTAAAATCTAGGGTATTTCAAGAGGCTAGTCTGAAGCTTTCATCCAGGGCAAAACAAGTTTGTTTGGGAACTTTGAACAAAACTTTATATACTATGAACTTCGTTTGTATAATATAAAATAACATATAAGCAAAATACAAGCACAAGATTAAACAGCATGCATAAGCCTGCTCCAGGACACTATTTACATAAAAATGTTAATTGAACAAATAAAGGAATTATGTTGCTTATATTCACAAGCCACAGGGGTTGTGGAGTTGGTTTACAACCAGGGGGTGCAGATAGCAGGGGGGATGGGGGGGCACATCCCCCCCCAGTTATATAGAGACCCCAATACATCCTCACCACTTCTGAGGGGAAAAATAAAACAAAACGTTGGTAAGTATCCCTAAACAGGGTTGGGTACTGTGATGTTTGAACTCATCAAACTGGGTTGAGCATCACAAACTTATATCTGTTAGAATAAATCTATAAATCTATCTCACATAATATATAACATTATATATACTGGGGCTCAGTAAATTTAAACTTGCAACAAACTGTACAGAAATTTGTTGTTTATGCTATTGTCAAATAGGCCATTTCTGGTTTATTGGCAATTCTGTACCAAACAACACTGTAACATTGTATGTATGTCAGCCAACGTCAATCAAAATGTTTTGTACTAAATTAAACATGATTGGAAAAGCTTAAGAGTTGAGACCTTTTGCTTACTATTTGGCCCTTCCCACATCAAAAATCTCTCCTGTGGCCCTGTTTGAAACAATAGAGTAGACATGGATCTCACCAGAAGGGATACTAATTCTGCTGACCGTAGACACTCAAAGCATTTTTAATACTGCTGCATTCTGGCCAAAAATTCATCCTGACTGTTTGTGCTTGATCTAATTTGCTAATTAACATTCTTTCCTCTCCTGTAAAGCTAATACATTTTGATCCTGGCTTCCATACAGAGCTGACAAAGTACCCTGGTTAAGGAAATTAAATTGAAAGCTCAATTTTAAAAATAAGCTCTGGGTTATAAAATGCTACATAAAACTTTTAAGTAGGACAGGTTCATGGTAGAGTCATTGTGCATCATCTAGTAATAGGGTGGAAGTTCCCCACAAACAAAAACAAAACATGAAACAAGTTCCTTCAGTTTTTCAGAATCATTGTGTACTCCTGCCAGGTGGTGGCATGAGTACACAATGTAAACAAACAGTCAAGACAAAAATATGCAACACAATAAATAAAGATAAAAAGAGACATAGAGAAGAAGAATGTGCTATTGAAAATAACATGTAGACAAACATGCAGACATATTAAAAAGTTTGGGGTATGTGCAGATACATTTAGAGTCAATATGAATAAACATCATGCATGTTTGTTTGGGGTATGTGCAGATACGTTTAGAATCAATACGAATAAACAACATGCATGTTTGTTTGGGGTATGTGCAGATAAGTTTAGTGTCAATGGGAATAAACAACATGCATGTATGTTTGGGGTATGTGCAGGTAAGTTTAGAGACAATATGAATAAACAACATGCATGTTTGTTTGGGGTATGTGCAGATAGGTGTGGAGTCAATAGGTGGGTGACTGACAATGAACAGGTCCCATTGGCACCAGTGTGCTTCTCATGGGTCTTTGCGTAGGGGGACTATGGCCTGGGGGAGGAAGCTGTTCAGACAGTGAGCTGTTCTGGTATTTGGGGATCCTCCTCTCAGCTTTAGCCGAGAATGGAGATGGTGAAAGAGAAAGTGACCTGGGTGAGAAGAGGCAGACATTATTTTCTTAGCCCTGTTTCTCATTTAAAATACAAAGAGATATCAAAAAGTATCCCCAAAATCAGACTGGTCTCTCTGGGAGCAACTGGGAGCATTTGAGAATGAAAAACAGATAGTCAGACCTGTGCCAGTCTAAAATATCATATATAGGACTCATTAATACATGCTAATACACAGCATTAATTCAAAACATAATCCGTGTTTGAGAATCACAACCACTGGCATTGGATGTGCTGGTTCTGATTCCCCATTTCTGCAAGAGATGCTGGTGGTTTGGAAATTAAACTATTAAGAAGAAAAGCACAAGACTGTGTCATTTCTCAGTAGGTGAATTTGGGCTTCAGAGGTAAAACAACAAACAGAATCTCTAAAAGAATCACAGATAAAAATCGCTAATTAAAAGATTAATTAAATATGTGAAGGTATTGTCTCAGGGGACGACTTTTTAAGAATGATGGTTTTACTAAAAAGGAAACTGCAAAAAAAAAAATTAAAAACAGCAACGGCCTTCAAGAGACTGCAAACACAGATAACCTGAATTTCCATGAAGAAATACCAGCCTCTCACACTAAAAGGTAAGGGAATATAAAAGAAAAAAATGTGTATATCTGGTCATTTTAGGAATATTTTAAAAGATTTTAATTTCTGTGTGATTACAAATATTACTAGTATAAACATACAGATGAAATCAAGCCATTGTTTCAATAAACAAATAAATATTGATTTAAATTGTTCTACACAAAATGCAATGATCCATTATGACTACACAAAAGGAAACATATATATATATGTTATATAATGATAATAATGGCGTGCTAAAACTGCATCATCTTATGACAGGGGACACTTTATTATATACAAGAAATTAATCGCTTATCATTTAGCAACATTTTAAACAGCATTTTCCAAAATTATCTACAGTTACACAACATGTATTCAACATTTATTGCTAATTTTGTTAATAAACTGATGCTATATGACAGCTACTTGTCAAGTGGTGTGACTCAGTAGTGTATAAAATGTATCAACGTTTTGTGAGTGCTTTCTTTTTAATCTGCTAATAGTTGACCTGAAAGGGACATCAATCATCACGTCAATTCAGCACTTGGAGGACTACTCGTTAACCTGAATACAAAGTGGATATGCATTACTGTATTTAGGCATGACCAGTAGATGGCGCTATCGTTCTGCTAAACATTTGTTTCCCATCGCTGATAATGTTCCTGGAACTGCAATTTTTTTCCATATATCCATTATTTCATACCTACTTGCCCTACACAGCGTCACAGGGGTCCAGAGCCTATCCTGGAAGCTACAGGCACTAACCCATCACAGGGTAAACATCATTCAATAACTATAGTTCACCTTGTTATTGTACTACATATCACACATTTCTTTCTCTTTTTTGACTCTGGTCCCAGAGTGTGAGAAACCAGTGCTAACCACTATGCCACTATTCTAACCCAACCTTTATTTTTGTTTTTTTCAAAAAAAGAAAATCTAAAAAAAAAAAAAACAATTGCATATTTATCTGCTTGTAGAATTAGATATGAAATGAC